ATATCCCCCATCCCCCAGGATCTACGCCTATGCTCACTTTCAGTTGCCAGACCCATGTTGTGACAGACCACGACTTTCAAAAATTTTAGAAGATTTAAGATTTTAGAAGTTCTATACAAATTGACAAAGGTGTTGATTGAATTGCCTAATTATTTGTGAATTAATCAAACTCGACTATAAATGGCCATTAAGATATTTCATTTTTCGAAATTCCCAAATTTACGATAAAAACAAAAGTAATGCGAGCTTTCCTTATGGGCCTATTTCATGACCATCTGCTCTCGGATCATGGAGCTCAGGCTGAGGGTAATTTTATAAAATGAGGGAATATTAGCTATGTCTTGTATGGATTAACTTTCAAAGCAAATTTTGAAATACAAAACATAGCAGGCAAAGGTCTGGTTTCTGGTAAATCAGTGTGCATAATAATACACCTACCTGATCCTTTATCAAAATCATCACCGACTGCAGTCCATTGTAAAGTTACACTCTGTTGTTGATACGAAACTTCAATAACTTTTAGATCTATAATCCGTGATGGTTGCAGACGATCTATTGCAACGTCAACGTGGTTTGACACTTGGAGTACACCTCCTGACGCTGAACGCTCAAACATGCCAACCAGTTTCATTATTGTCTCCTCCTCTGTTGATGTTCGTGAAGTAAAACAGCATCAGGAAATGATCAAAAAGACAAAAAAAAATACAAAACCATAGTTCATAAGGAAGCTTTGCTTTGGTTCTTTTTCAGGTAGATGCGAATGTATTTACTCTGTTAACTAACATCGGTAAACTAATTGGCGTAATGCTTAAAACCTATTTTTATGTTAACAGTATAGTGTTGCTAAAACCCCAAAATAGTACACTATCTCAATTTTGACAATAATTTAAACAAAATACAGCGCCAAGAAGTGGTGAAATCTAACATTTAAACTTTGCACTTAACTAAATACACAATGTGTAATAATAAACTGATATTATCACACAATGTGGGATAATATGAGTTTATGATTACTGTACAGTATTTGTTAATTTTAGGTCACCAACTTCACTCCAGTACTTTAGTTAAAACTCAGTATTGAATGTTCTTTTAATAATTTTCTCTTAGGTTTTTAGACTAACCTCCTTGAATAGGGAAAGATCTAGAATTTTCCACAAATCCAATTGATGCTGTATCTTCTTTGCCCTTGACCTTAACTTCAACGCTGTAGCGTCCATTGTCAGTGAAGTTGAAGAAATAACCAGAATAAATACCGTCATTTTTCAGTATGTCTGCATTTGTACCACTATCATATAGTTCAAAGACCTCATCCGGTGCATTTGGCCTATCTAAAATGGCGATTACATCAGCATTAGCGACAAACTCGTTCCCCTTGTTCACAATTGCAAATACAATTACATGAGGAGCAGGAGAAGTTTGATAATCGATAAATGGCTCATTTACGAACGACGTAATTGTAATCGGTATGTCGTCAATCGAAGCTTGTTTAGATTCCACAATTACCGAGACGACTTGAGACTGATAAAACGGTAACTCATTTGAGATGATGAACGACCAACGCCCTGCCTAATTAAATAAAGTATTTTATTTTCAGAATAATATACTTTAATATCAATGTGCGCATAGAGACTACGATTTTGAACTTTACGTGTTTCTAACAAGCAAGCAATCTATGGTCAATGGCGGTGAAAACAGTGGCGTATCTAGAGGTGCGCGGGGGAGGGGAAGCACGCCCACCCAAAAATTACTCGCTACCCAACCCCTTCCCCCAGTCGCCCTCCCAAAAAGCACTTGCAAGTAAAAAAGATCACATTAAATCACCTTATTTTGCGAGTTAGCGGCCCCAACTGATA